AAGGTGTGACCCTATGAACAGGGCTCCCCTGGTTCTCACAGGTCAGGACAAGGTGTGACCCTATGAACAGGGCTCCCCTGGTTCTCACAGGTCAGCTGAAGGCCACTTGTGGACAGGACCTCAGCTCAGACACATAGGGTGTGGTTTGCGTGGACAGTGCAGTCCCGCTTTCCCAGCCTGTGGTCCTGCATCCGTCCCCCACTCCCGCACACTCACCCATCAGTCCGTGGTCCCACTCCCCCTTCCCCCCACACACTCACCCATCAGCCCACTGAGGAAGACACCATAGAGGGACAGGCCGGTGGTGGCGGCATTCCACACAGTGCCGATGACGGCGTAGAGCAGGATGGTGCCCAGGTTCCCAAAGAAAAGGCGGTTGGGCATGAAGTAGCCAGCATCCAGCACAATGGGCGGCAGCAGGTAGAAGAAGAAGAGGGTGGGTGTGAGCGTGAAGGAGGCAGAGTGGTCGGCTGCCCAGACAATGCCGCCCAGCACCAGGCCCAGCACAATGAGCAGCGCGCTCTCGGGGACCACACTGGTGACCTTGTGTGACAGGTGGAACACTGTGGGGAGAGGGGCTGAGTGTGAGCAGGACTCTCCCCCACCGCCTGCTGGGACGGCCCGCCACGCCCTGCCCTGCCCGAGCCCCCGCACGCAGCCGGACACACTCGCCAGCAGTGTGGCTGACACCGGTGTCCAGTCTTCACATCTGGGACCCCTTCCCCTACCCCGAGTTGTTTCACTCATGGGGCTCTGTGAACACACAGGTGCAGGGACTAGGGGAAACAGAGGCCAGGTGGGACCCTGCCTCGGAGGGGAAGGCCACATGTTCTGGGTGGTCTGCGTCTGCTGGTCATCGGCTGCCCCTGAGTCCTCCCCGTGGGAGAGGCAGGGCCTTGTGGGGGCTGCATCTGGGCTGACCATTGTGGGGGATGGAGAGCTGGGTGGGAATGTGCTGACTCACAGTGATGGGGAGGAGGAGGGAGACAGGGCCGTTCCAGGGGCCAGGATGCTGTCCGAAAAACCAACGGCCTCCTCCAAGGGCTCTCCACCCTGGGATTCCACCACTGGCCTGACCGTTCCCCACACGTGGCTGAGCTGGCCCTGACCCCAGAGCGGGAACCCCCACGCCATCCAATCAGAGGCACCTCGCCTGGGGAACGCGGCAGATCTCAGCCTAACTCATTCCCAAGTCACCTGGAGCCACCCTTGGAGGGCCGCACAGGGCCGCCTCCCACCAGCTGCTCTGCCTGACTCCTGGGGGCCCAAAGCCAGGGTCTCCACCGTCTCCCAACAAGAAGTGACCCCTCACTCCCCAAATTCTCCCTTCCAGCGTGGCCAGCAGGGCCCCAGGGCCCCCAGGCGACACCCCATCTCCTCGGCGCCCCCGGTCAGCCATCAGCCCACTAGGACGTGAGAGATGCACCTTGACCCTCCCGCCAGGTGAGCGGAGCTTGGAGGCTTGCCAGGGCCAGCTTCTCTTTTGTTCTATGTTAAGGCTCAGAGAAAGAGGAGATAAGAGCGCCTGTGTTAAGCCTGATTTCAAAATCGTTGGAATGTGGACAAAAGAGGCTGACTTCTTTGGTTCAGGCAATCCAGGGGATTAATTATCTGCTTCACTCACTGAGTTGTTCTTCTTACTGTAAGGCTTTGAAATTCAAAAGAGTTATCTCCTGAGATGGCCTTAGCTTGTCTAGTGCTGGGCGGGTTCTTTCTGGAGCCATTAGGAGGGGAGGACATCAAGCGCCCGGCAGAGACGCGCGGACAACAGAGGGGCGGCGTTCAGTGAAGGGCACGTTGTGTGAGGGCCACCATCACCGCCAAGCAGGCCCTGCCCCACCTCAGAATTTGCACATGAGGCCGGCCTGCTTCCCGTCACCCGTCTCAGAGTTTGGCGGGTTCTTACCCCACGCCACTGCCTAACCAGGTCAGCTCCACCCGCTCTGGGCTGTGTCCTCGCCGGTAATGATGGGTTCCGGCACAGGCTTCGGGCAGCTCAGGGAAGAGCTCCCCACAGGCCCAGGGGAAGGCTGTTGTCATCGTTGTTGCTAGTACTTTCCTGTGGAAAGCCCCACACAGGCATTGAAGTTTGCACAGCAGGAAACCTGGTACCTTCCCAGGGTTTGTCTTTTTGGGGCACAGCCGGACCATGCCTGCCCGATCCCCAGGGCAGCCGCAGGGTGGAGGTCTGCCTGTACCCTCTATTCATTGAAATGTGGGTGCCCCTCCATCACATGATCAGGATGACGCCACAGGGCAGTCCTGAGACGGATCATCTGGGCACCTGCTGGGGGTCTCTCCACCTCCTCCACCCGCTGGGAAGGGGCCTGAGGCGAGGGTGTTGTCGCACAGGTGGGGCGCTGCTCTCAGCTCCCGCTCCCCCCACACCAACCCAGCCCCTCGTCCCCACGCCCAGGAGGGTCTGAGGGAGTGGGCCAGCCCTCATGGGGGAGCAGGACCCTCCTGGTACAAAGCCCATGGGGTATCAGAGGTGCCTGTCCCACCCCTGTGTCCGAGCCCATCGAGCCCTCCCTGCACACCCCTGGAGGGGCCCCAGACCTCAGCAGTGCAGAGCTCTCGCGGGAGCGGGGTGGGCCCCGAGAGAATGAGCGTTGAGGCCCTGTGTCAGCAAGGACATGGCGGCAGGGGGTGCCCGTACAGAGCACAGGCCCTGAAGCGGCTGCCCCATCACTGCCCCATCCCCACCCTGTTCCTGCCCCCCTCGTGCTGCCACCAAGCCATGATCTTTCTTACTGCCCTGGGCTTGGGCGTTGAGGTGACCTGTGGCCATTTTTTTTTAACTGGTGTGAATCTCAGTCCATTGTGGCTGGCCGAGTAGAGGCGGAGGAGAAGGCTGTGATTGGGGGCTCAAGGGGACCAAGCCCCACATTATCAGAGGGGCTGGCAGCCAGGGAGAGGCACTGCCCCTGCTGAGCATCCCAATTATGTTCATTTGCACTGCAGGTGATTAAGGGTGGAGAGGCACCTACGCTGTTCCAGGGCTCACGGCCCCCCACCCCAGCCCGGGTTGCACTTTTGCATTCTGAACAAGGCTCCACTTTTCCCTCTAGAATTTCCACAGGTCAGAAGGGGCCTGGGCAGGGACTCTGCTCCCCTTTCTGGGGGTCTCCTGGGGACCTGGTATATGAGCCACTCCTGCACGGCCTGGGAAGCCTGGGAAGCCCCTGGAGGGGGCACCATAACGTTGCCTCATGGGTGACGATTACCAAATGCTCTGGGCCCCAGTGACTAATGCATCACAGGGGTGTGGCGCCCAGGGGCAGGGCTCTCTCTGGAGAACACGGAGGGCAGGTTCCCTGGAGCCCTCAACCTCGATGGTCTGGCTATGCTTGTAGGTGTTAGGCCTCATTGTAGCATGCTGGCAGGGAAACATCCAGAGGGTTCAAAGGCTCGTGTTCCCCCGGGGTGACTTCCCCAAGCTCGGAAGAGGCGATGGTGTGGGTAAGGAAGGGCAAGTGCCCCATGCGGTCCAGGTCCCAGCTCTCAGCACTCCCTGGCGCACCTGGTGGGACCACTGCAGCTTCAAAAAATCCCTTTCCCCTGTCAGCTCCATGTCCTTGGCCCCATGACCGTCAGGGGAGCTGCAGTATCTCCAAGCTTCGGGAAAAGATTTGTAAGGAATATCTTTTCTCCCTTCAGGGGGAGAACGTTTCCTCTGCACTTGCGCACTGCACCAGATGGATCACGTGGGGCATGATGGGAGAATCCTGGCAGGCCCCGGACAGCTGAACCAGGGGCATGATGGGAGAATTCCCTTGGGCCCCAGATAGCTGTACCAGGTGCATGATGGGAGAATCCAGGCAGCTCCCAGATGGCTGCTCCCAGGTCATGATGGGAGAATCCCTGTGGGCCCCACATAGCTGTACCAGGTGCATGATGAGAGAATCCAGGCAGCTCCCAGGCGGCTGCTCCAAGGGCATGATGGGAGAATCCTGGTGAGACCCAGATCCCACTGCCAGACACTTAGATCTAGCTAGTCCTGGCTGGGCCACCAGGGAGCTGTGTTTTCACATCCTCTCGGTGCTCGGTAGGCTCCGACACCTGCCCTCTGGGCCGTCATGTGAAGGACCAGGGACGTGCCCCCCTCCCCCTGTCAGGAAACTTCCAGTTCATTTGTCATTTTCTTTCCTTCCCTATGGCTATAAAAGTCAGGCTTGGTACCAAGGAGTTATGTCTAGAAAGATCCGCCCACTGAATGTCCTTTCTCCTTGGAATGGAGGGGTGTTTTACCCACTCTTGCCCCACAAGAATCCCCAGTGGATTCCCAGCTCAGCCATGCCCTTCCGTGGCTGTGGAGTCCATGTGCAGGTCCAGCAGCCGCTGTTCCACACGGGGTGCAGTAACCACCACTTCAGATCTGGCGAGGTCCTGTTGGGACTGCATTTTTGACCCCCTTCTCACTCATTTCTGTCCCTGTTTCAGGGTCACACGCCTGGGAATGAACTGGGGGAAGGTGCTTTTCCAATAAAGCTTATGGAACGGCGTGGGAGGCTGGTGAGCCTTCGGTGCCCATGAGTCTACGGGTAAAATTCCAGTGACCGAAAGAGACAATATGTTCCCACAGGATGCGCACGGCTGGTCGGTAGATGCCTGGGCCAGCCTTGGGTCGGACAAGGGAGAGCTCAGAAAGTCCCCTTGGCTTGGGTGGCAGTGAGGGTGACGGCCCCTTGGAGCTGGCTTCGGGACGATCTGCTCAGGTAGTCTTTCATCCACAACCTCTTCCAAAGTCAGAAGGTGAGGCCTCTAGCTGCGGATCAGATCGTTGTGAATTCACCCTGGGCGCTGCGGGGCTTGGTTGTGTGCCAGCGGGGCAGGGAGGGTGCAAGGAAACCAGAGTTATCTTCAACCACAACAACGAAACTTTGCACTTTAGGAACTCAAAGTACTCTTAGATGCTATGGGCCTAATCCTGGCCACATTCCTGTATGGCAGCTGGTTACTATAAAATCTTATTAATTTGGAAAACAGGTGGACAGGAAATGGCCTGACTTCAGACCAAACGCTCTTGCTCAGAAGTAAGCCCCTGAAAATCCACATAAAAAATAATTTGAGCTTTTGACCTGGCGATAAAAAAAGAAAGATATGCTGATGGGCAGTCAGTTTATTTCCAACCTTCTGCCATCGTAAACAATGTTGAAAAGAATACCCCTGAACACACATCGTTTGCTGTCCACATATGTAAGAACATCGGAAGGGTGGGTTGGGGACATGGGTCGAGAGGCATGTACGGTTCCAATTTTGAGGGATGACTGCACTCTCCCGAGTTGGGAGTACCTGGCACACCCCACCCACGAAGGGCTCCCCTGTCCCCATCTCGTCTCCAACATAGCTCACATTCAGAAGGTGAAAAACTGCTTCCTGTGTAGATTTAAGTCAATATTCTCTTCTTCTGAGTTAGGTCCGAGCACTCTTTCGCAGTTGAGACATTTCTTTTCCTTTTCTGTGAACCATTTATTCGTGGCATTTGCGCGTTCCTTCGCCAGCTCGCAGCCCTCTTCTTTGATCTGTGGTTCTTCATGGACTGGGAAGCCAGAGCTTTGTG